CGGGGCGCTCCGGAGGAAGGGATCGTGGCGGTGGATGACAGCGCAGACGACAAAAGCAGGCGAGTGAATGGCAAGGCTGGCAGCGAGAAGCCGAGGTGTTGCCGAAGCCAAGATGTCAGTGACTGTCAGCGAAGTCTGCTAAGGGAGAGACCTGTGCACGCCAGCGTTCCCAGCTCCAGCCGGGGAAGGGTATGTTTTAGCAGCTATTTAAGGCAGCGGCAACAACAGATTGCTCCCCGCTCTCGCTCCCTCTCCTTCGACCCCACTTTAAACCCAAGCGAACGACTGACCCTCCAGACGATGATGCTCTTGCTGAGCCACTGACAAGGAAAAGGCAAGTCACCCATTCCCGAAACCGGGATCACTGCCTGCTTGCAAGCAGGAGATCTCTAGCTGCTGAACTTTTCTGTCCTGTGATGGTGCTGCGGTGAGCCTGCTGATCCGAAAGCCATCTCTTCTGGATTTCTGAGCTGGACAGATTGAAAGAGATTAATGGACTGATCAAACAGCCAAAGCTTTCAGGTCTCTTCAGGGAGAAAATAGTCCTTCAGCCCCCATCACTTGGGTGCTCGTGGTGAAGGGAGCAGGACATCCTTGTATAGGTGGGTGGGTGGCTCGCTCCCTTTGGAGGTGGAAGGTTGTGTTTCTCCTCACCAGGTCTCCTCCACAGAGGAGGAGAGGCAGATGAGACTCCAGGACTGCCTCCAGGGCAGAACTTTGTAGCGCTCTTAGCATCCCTCTGCAGCGTGGATGTGAGCCACGGAGTTGGGGATGTTTGAGGCAGTCTCTGCCAAGTGACACCTAGCAGCTGCTCCGGAGGTTTTTGTGTGGTGTCACACTCAAGGGCTTTGCCTGTTGTGAAGATGTCCATGGTGTTTCTTTGAAGCTGAGGTATGGCTGCTGGAAGGTTACTGCTGTATGCTGGCCTCTCTTTAGCTCTGTGTGCCCTGGGCATGCTGGCTGTGGCAATCTGCTCTGACCATTGGTATGAAACTGATGCCAGAAAGCACAGAGAGAGGTGCAAGAGCATCACCACTAAGAGAAATGACCCTGGCTTCATTTATAATTCCAACAACAACCTGCCTCTCAGGGCCAGCAGGTCTAGGTTGGACCGCTGGGAAGGGAAACTCCTCTTGGCAAGAAACAGGAGGCAGATCTTTGCTATGAGTGCGGTCGACGAGTGCAACAGACAGTACAACTCAACCAACATGGGGCTCTGGAGGAAATGCCACCGGCAAGGATTCGACCAAGAGCTGGAGGAGCTGATTGCCAAAGGTAAGGGCTATTTTTTTACCAGATGAACGTGCCAGGCCCTCCTGAGCTGAGTAGAGGGTGAACAGAGCCATTTGGGCTATTTGTCTCTAGCCAAGCACCTCTCCTTGCGATGGGTGAACTGACCTGGTTGAGTACTGCTTCCCAAAGCATTGCCAGGGCAGTTCCCAGGGGTCTCTACTGCATGGGGTTTAGGAGCAAGAAGGCTGTAGGGGTGAGAGCAGACACACCCCAGCATGTCTCATGTCTCTGTCTCTCTAAGCTTGGTATAGTCTGCCCATCACCATGGTATCAGATTATTTTCCACATACAAACGAAAAGTATTAACAAAGCAGCCATTGGATTTTTTTTTGCTTGAGCCTGGTGACTCGGGCAAAGTACATATTATTTTATTGGAGACTACATATGTCTGTATTTCATCATTCCCTTACTGAATGCCCCACTAGTTCTGAATTACACCATTTGCATTGCTCACATGTAGGCTTTTTCTATCCTCAAATGGAGAGTAAACAAAGAGAAATGCTAAAGAGCAGGAGGAAACCCAGCTTGCTGTGTACTCTGAGCTATGTTTTGGAATATTTTCAATGTCTACAAAACATTATATGAATTTATTAGGAGTGTTAGAAAGCAATGATTTTCTCTTGGGGTGGAGATGGATCTGTTTTCCTGTAGCACTTTTGTGCTATGTTTTTTCTTGGTTGTTAATCCCTTCTTTTTTCTCCCAAGTTACCAGTTCAAGGTGATGGTCAGTTTGCCTCCAATGTTTCTTTGATCTGAAGTATAGCAAGGGGTGATACGCATAAAACCCAGCCTAAACATCCTGTCTACAAAAGATGTGTGTTTTTGCAGGATGATGAGGGTTTCAGTAGCAGATGACAGCATCTTTGCTACCCACAGCATGGTTACTCCATACAACGAAATAACATTTCCCTCCCATGGTTCTTCTGTTGCATTTAGATGATTCTCCAGTGGTTTATTTCCATCACAGGGAAATCATTGCTGCTTATGCTGTGCAGTCTTTAAAAATACTTGTTTTCTGAGTGTATTCTCTGTCCCAAACTCCCTTGATAGCCCGTGTTAGTTTGTTCTTCAGACATTGCAAGCAGAATTATTGCTTAAAGCCAATTATTCATGAGGGATATACTCTCACATGTGTTTGCCAATGTATACGTTTTGTTCCATATGTTTTAAAAGTGAGCAGTAGAGGTGAGTAGCACAGTGTAGACTTGCACTGAAACGGTACAAACAGGTGGTGTAGCAGGGAACCCAGATCACTGTTTGGGATCCTGTCTGTATTGCTAGTGACTCTTTATGTCTTGTTGCTGTTTAATGACCTATGTGAAATGAATTGGTGGCTTCAGTCCCAGTTGTAATGGACAAGTGAACATGTTCAAAGTCTGTCAGCATCCTGGCATCCTGCTGCTGGTTTCAGTGCCGAGGGAGGGATTCCTCTTCTTGGTGCAGGTGAGGGTGCGGATGTGCTGGGCTGGCTGCGGAGGTCACGTGTGCTCAGGGCATAAACAAAGAATTCAACTTGACAGTGGGCGAACATGTCACCAGAGCCTACTTTTGGCAAATGGAGTTTCAGTTATTAGAGAGGTTTTTCATCTCAAAGTAAGTGAGACTTGTTCCTCTTTCACCACCTGCCTTGTCCTCAGAAGCATCCCTTTCTCATGCCGGAAACTGCTAAAATTGCCTGGCACTGGATTATGTGTAAGGGCAGCTCTGCTAAGTGTTAGCCATAAAGAGAACGTGGCAGCTCAAGCTGAGGTGGTTAAATACAGGAGAGAATTGTATTTGGCTGTAATTTGTGTGTGTCCGTGTGTATGAGTGTGTGGAGGAGAGAGTGTGTGTGTGTGTGTGGTGAATTAACTCTAAATGTACAGTGTTCAGCAGTAGCATGGGATTCCTGGGCTCAGGTACAGCGTGTGTTTCTGCACACATATACCTGGACATACGTGTCTGCAGATGGACACACAGCCACTTCGCAGAGCTGCTGCCCCAAGGTCAGAAGTGCAAGTTGTGCACATAAGGGAGGTGTCTGCAACTATTGGTGTGTGTCACTCCTTGCTTGCTTTAAAGGCTTTCTGTTACACATTTAACAAATTTCATAGTATGTTGAGAGAAATGTTAAAGGAGGGAGACTTGTAACACTGAATACCAACATTATAGTTTGTTTGATGGTCTTTCTGCAGTGAGAGTCAACCTATACTATAGTTCTCAGCCATGAAGAGTCACACTAATGCTATAGAGGTGTGTTCCTTTGATACCTCCAGGTTAAAACATAGAAAAGCAAGTACAATGGCAATTTGATAAAACAAGGTGTTTGACTCGCTCATAAATGAAACTGGAGATGTTATAGGATTGCTCGTCCACTCTGTGTTTCGTTAGATCAAAAAGAACTAATGGGTTTTACTTTCCACGTACGAAAAAGTAATGTAAAATACTTGTCTGTTAAAAATCCTTGTATGCTGGAATCACTGAATTAGAAGGAGGCAGCTTTACGTGGGTAGTCAACTGGTGTCCCTGTTCCCACCTAAGGCCAGCTGCTTGACTGTTTCCTTATGATCCCCAGCTATATGGTGAAAGTGGAATAAGTGCATTTGCTGTTGCTGTTGGATGTTGAGAACAGCTGTGGTTTCAAACTAAGGCAGATATTTATCCCGACAGCACCACCTTGCTTTTCTAGTTTTAATTCCGTGGCAGATGCTTGTCTGGAGTTTGAAGTTGCAGGGGTGGGTGCCGGGGCAGAGCATGCCCTGTGCAGATATGAAGGGCTGCAGACATTCTCTACCTGTAGTTATCAAATACCCTGACCGAGGTGCATATTCCTGCACAGATGAAATCTCTCTCTGTATGAGCTCCAGGGCAAATACCATACAAAAGAGGATGTTATTGGTGCATAGACCTTTTATTCTCCTTCCTCTGCCAACTGTTAATTTAATCTAGCACACCTCTTCCGGAACTGGATAAACTAATGCAGGTTCTGGCTCCAAATATTGCGTGTAATGCCATATGTAATTGAATGTAAATGCTATTAAGGGTTGGTGGGTTTTGTGTTTGGGGTTTTTGTTTGTTTATTTGTTTGTTTTTAAAGCTGGACAGGATCTAAGTGATCCATTTATTTTGAGACAGCTCCTACATTTTTCCCTAGGCAAAATTTCCAGTATTAAGAATGGTAAGTTTGTCTATCAAAGGATAACAAAAAAAGGTCATTAAGAGCCTAACTAGCTTTGCAAATACCCTGCAGTTATTCTGCTTATGAACTCTGCTGAAATTAATACAAGCTGTAGGCAATGGCTGGCGGCAGGATCAGGCCCTATGGTGCTTGGCAGTATTCTGATGCCAGTGGTTTTAAAAACAGCTCTGTTTCTGAGCATGCTGGGTCACTTCTGTAATGCTGTTCTGTATTTATTATTTTTTACTTTCTGTCAAATAAATGAAAACCTTCATGTTGAGTTTTGCTAGAAAAACTGGAGATCTGTTACTTCAGATTTCTTATGGATAGATATAATAGACACTAATGCATATATAAAATGGTTGATCCTATTTATATTTCTCCTATCCATTTTTTATATTTCCGTAGAACCCAGCTGCATATTTCAAAATAATACATTTAGATACGTAAACAATGAATTAAAACAGCTTGTCACAAGTAAGCATACAAGGGAGAGGCAGGCAGGCAGGTGTGAGACCAAAGGCCTGGAGAATATTCTAAAGCTATGTCGAAATTAGGCAGTTAATTTGCTCTCTTTTTTAATCAATTAAAAAACCCAACCAAGCCATAAACCAGAAACAACAGAAATTACAGTCTATAAGGAAATGCAAACCCAGGGCCCAGTCTTGCTAACTTTTGCTTACCTGAATAATCTTTATTCCTGTGAATGGACTGCTTGGACTGAGAGAAAGCCCTTTTGTACAGAAGGAGCAGTCAAAAAGAAAGAGCTTACAAAGCTGGTCCTCTGCTTCTGCTTTTGCATCTGATCAAGTCTTTTAGCATTCGGGACAAGAGTTTCACTCCTGATCCCTAAAGCCTTGCAGGGTCAGGAAACGCTGGCTCTGGGTCTGTTCAGCACAATACCCTAAGCTTCTGCCGATTCTCAGGTGCGTGTCCAGTCTCCTCCGTGAATTAAATAGCCTTGCTGCTTAACACCCCTTTTATTAGAGTGTTCCCTGTATCCTATTAGATCCACCACTTGCCTGTTTACCACTGAGTTTCTAGCAAAAGCGGGATTTCCTCACCCTACCAAAAAATCCCAGTGAACCATCCACCTCCACTACTAAGCAAGCAGAGAGCTGAGATGCAGGTAAGTGTCCGTTCGTGGCTGGGAGAAGGCAGAGTTTATGTCCTGATTTAGCAACCAGCAGTTCATAACCCCTGATATATGACTTGTAGTGACCCTGAAAAAGAACTGGAAGCCACAGAGTCTGTCTGCATCCCACAGCAATGTCGCTCAGGTGCTTTCCTGCACTAGTCAAGAGGAAAACAAGAAAGGGAAAAAAAGAAATTGCATCATTTAATTATAAAGGTACAGTAAAGTAGATGAAGAAGTTGCACAATAACTGGAGTCTGTTCCATTTAGACAATTACTACTCAGAGGACTTTTCATCTTGCTTTTCCACTTAAATTTGAGAAGAAACTTCTTCTCAGTGAGGGTGACAGAGCACTGGAACAGGCTGCCCAGAGAGGTTGTGGAGTCTCCTTCTCTGGAGACATTCAAAACCCGCCTGGACGCCTTCCTGTGCAACCTCATCTAGGTGTTCCTGCTCCGGCAGGGGGATTGGACTAGATGATCTTTTGAGGTCCCTTCCAATCCCTAACGTTCTGTGATTCTGTGATTCTGTCATTTTGGAAGGCTGCCAGTTAACCCTGTCTGGATGGAGCTCTGCTGTCTGCAACTGGAATCCAATTTAATATATATTTAAGAAAAAAGAAATTAAAATGACCTTATTATTTCAATCCCCCTTTTACCTCCCTTCTTCCCCCAAGATCTGTGGAAGTC